TATATATATATATATTCGTCTCAGAAGATTAATGGAAAAATTCTTAATTTAAATAGAAATTTTACAGAAGTTATTTCTGCAATGCTGTGGAAATCTTATTCTTATTTTACACATTTTTCGCATATAATTTAGCAAAAAAGATTAAATTCGAAAATATGATACCGCATATCAAAATCTTTTTAATTTTAAATTTGTTACAAAAAACATGTAGCCATGTAAAAAAAGTCATAAAATTATTTTAATTTAAAAAAAGCAAAATTAAAAATAAAAATCAAGCTTTAACGTCAATTTGTAAATAAAAGAGAGCATCTATTTCCTATCCAGAGAACACTCTGCCTGGCAGAAAATATACGCATCAAACGCGCGTTCGGCCTCGACCATCGTCGTAAATTTCACGAGTGTTTCCCAAGCGAGCGCACCTAATCCCCGATGCATTCTTATGGAGCTCACTTTCCCGGCTTCGACTATTAATCGTGTCTACGCGACGGCGTATTGTACGGCCGCTTCATTATGAAGAACATTAACGCGAGCGGCACGTATACGCCAAAATTTAAAATGCACGAGATCTAAAGCTCGGTTAATAAACGCGTTTAGTGGCAGTAAAACTTCTTGCTAATGGCGCGCCCGACTTTATATGCCTTACCATGCAAAGTTCCCAAAGAGAAAAGCTGTTTTTTATACCGCCGAAACAATGTGGGGTTTAGTATTAGACGTCCTGGGAGAATAAGGCTGAGATAAGCAACCGCATTTTGAGAATTGTCTCTTCGTGCTCTTTCTCTCTTTCTTTTCCCAGAAGTTAAGAAGGTAATTTCTTTTGAATAGTATTTGCAAATTTTATTTCTACGGAGATTATTTTATACATGTACTCCAATTTAGAATTACGAAAAAATTGCACTCGCATATTTCTTTTCTTTTTACATATAGAATGTCACAACCGCATTTCCTCTTAAGAACGTATTCTTGAGATAATTTTGAGACGAAAATCTTAATATAAAAATGTCGAGACTACAATAATTTTTTTAATTATAAGCTAACTTTAAATGCTTTATAAGTAAAAAGAACCATTTTATTTTTATAGCCTCTATTATTATTTCTGGATTCTTTTGAATATTCTAAGACGGAAGTCCTTATACAAAAATCGACATTATAATAGTTTTTGAATTACAAACTATCTTTAACCAATTATAATTCAAACTTTCTTAAGAGGAAATGCAGTAGTTTGTGGGATACCCTATATAGTACTATATTTACAATAAGATTATACAATATGTACTTCTTTTCTGTCATCTTAGAAATGAAACAGTAGCTTTAAGACGAGCTAAAATGAACGGCGTCATGTCGTATAATTAACGCACCACGGATACATCTAACAATTTTCTCAAATTGTTTCGCAGCACTACCTCAAGAAAGGCCAACGATAACCGGAGAAGAAAAGGTGTATGCCAGCGGAGACGTGCTCGCGCTGAATTGCACCAGCGGCAAGTCCCATCCTGCCGCAAAACTCAGATGGTTCGTTAATGGCCAGCAGGTGAGTGCAATAGTTTTTCAACGTTTATATTTCTCGCAGCATCGAGGAAAATGTTGCACAAGATAGAAATGTCGTCTGCGCATTGAACTTTCAATCATTTCGGTCAAAGATAATACAGATAAACAAACTAGATGTACGGTAAGAAAAAAATAAAATGATCGATGTTATATATTATTTCCAATGTGATATCTTTGCCGAATGGGAGCGTTTACAGTGTGTACCCACTGTCACATGGATGACAAAACTTGCACAAAATCTATAGGATACATATATGTATAACGGTGAAGCTTGGAATAGCACGTGGATAACACTGGCGGGCAGAAGCGGTTACGCGTTGGGGTTGGACGGGATTGCATCGGTACTGGTGAGGGGATGGAAAATATGTGTGTGTGTGTGTATGTGTGTGAGAGAGAAAGAGAGGGAGAGAGCGCGCGAATGGCAAGCTGGTTCCATGGTAAGCCGACTGAGAGTTTGACCATCGCGGCGATGTGGCTCGATTTCATCGCGTAAGCAACGGCGACGCTTGATGAGCCAAAGCTCCAATTAACGACCGGCGAAACGGATCCCTCGTACAGCTGCACCCGCCATCACTGTGCGATATTCCAGTACTTGGAAGCCTTGTAATGCGCGATCAGTGTTGCGCCGTGGTTTTGCCCACCTATAATATTATTCTCCTGCCGTTAGTTTCGAACTCCCCGTTTGTAACCCCGTGGAGATAATCGCGAAAATCAGACAAAAGGAGAGTCCAAAGCATGCATTCAAAAGAAAGAGACGAGATCGAGAAAAAAAAGCTATGGTTCTCTAATTAATCCGCGACGCGCAATAGAAAAGAGTCAATTTGCGTTTGCGATGCAGGAAGCTAAAGGGGAGAAAAATGAAGGATTTGCGCGAATCTCCGCTTAATTATTATATCTCCCCTTGCCGCATGATGATCTGAGATAAATCCGGAAATGGATTTTATTCTTGCCTCGGTCGTTCGTTTTTCACTAATGTTTTGGAATCTAACACTCGCTTGCCGTACGTCGTGTCTGTTTTTCAGTAAGAACAGATACGCGATAAATCGACGTAAAGATGCGCGCGCGCGTGCGTGCGTGTGTGTGTGTGTGTGTGTGTGTGTGTGTGTGTGTGTGAATGAGAGCGGGAAAGAGAGAGAGAGGGGAGGAGAGAGAGAGATAATGAGAAAGAGAGAGAGATAGAAAGTTCTATTCGGCGGGCGGGATTCTTATTTCTCTCGTTTTACGTTATTATTACAAAGTTTCCTTTCTCTCGCCACGTCACGAATAATTCAATCCTTCTATCGCTCGAGGCCGCCGGAGCTTCTATCGCATGCATATTGATGTATCGTTATCGGCGTTGTCGGGGTGAAGAAAACCCGGACGTACTTCTTGGCTCTAAGCGAGAATAGGGAAGAAGTTCGATAAAATCGTTGAAGATAAATGGCGAGAATATCTCCAGCTTTTTTTTTTTTACCGCGGCATATAATTATTTTTGTCTACCCTATTAATGAGAATAACAAGAATAGTTACACATATTGGAAATAATATCTGGAAATAATATAAGGATTAAGTTATAAAGAGAACACAGATTAATCCGACAATTAATATTTTTATACTCCAGCGGCGTAAAAATGTGAGTTGTGAAATATTATTTTGTATGGATATGTTTAACATATTTTTTAAATAACTATTCTCTATAAATCTTTAAATGTGCGATTCCATCAAAAATCCGCAAGAAAACATTATGTTCATTGAAACTTTTATTTTTTAGAAATATCATATTAAGCTATTTAACATATTTCATTTAATATTTGTTTAGATTCTACTTAATTTTTTCAAAAAATTGTAATTAAATCAATATCCATAATATAACATTCTCAAATATGAAGTATTAAATCGAAAACAATTAATAATTTACAATAAGTTAATATGATTTTAATTGAGGTACATCCCAAATCGTTTACATAAAAAATGAGGTGACTACATCCATTAATCTTATCATAGAAAAATTATAACTTAAGCATATACGGAGAGAATTTTTTTTCTTAGAATTTACTCCGAAAATATGATAGTCCTGGGATAACATTGTATTTCAAAGAATTTTATGTAAATTTTCTCATTCATTAATAAAACTACAATAAAATATATAATAAGTTTGATTAATTTTACTGAAGTGCACAATAAAAATCTTTAAAATATTGTATCACAACTATCATATTTTCAGAATAAATTTTAAGAGACAATTCCGTGTAGTAAAAAAAAAAAATGTTGATAGTTTTCGTCATTTGTATTCTTATTGTTACATTAACTTAAGTATACAGTGGAGCAAGTATTGTTATAACTGAGTGTTTCTCACAATGAGTGTTTCTCTCAGGAGGATCGTAACACTGCCGAAAACATGGAATTACGGCGTCTTGACTATTCAATTTGCGAAACTTGAAATGGGCCATCTTTTTCACCGTTTACACGAGAGATTACCCGTCGGCCGCGATGTGCACGGATGGAACCACGCGGGAGAATGTCAATAAACGACAAAAAGCGAGAATATCAATAAAACACGCTCTTACGTCGAGAATAGGCAAATCACGTCACGTAAAGTGCAAGTGCTTTTCGACGAAGCTTTAAAGACCCCGAAGATTACGCCAATATAACGAGCGACGCTCCTCCTAGAGCCCTACAGTGAATCGCATGCGGCGGCGTTGAAACTTTCTTCCTTATCTTTCGGACTCCGATCTTCCTTTTCCGCGGGAAACACACCTCTCGCTTATGCCTTCTGCCCCCTTTCGAACCGTTTTCCTTTCGAGAAAACTTTGCAACGCTCCCAACGACGTCCATTAGAAGTTGCGCGAGTTTAGTATAGCACTTAACAAGTAATATTGTTTCGGAAATGTTCGTGTCGCGAGACTCGAAAAACCTGTTAACGCGAGTCAAGTAATCTCACGAAACGAAAAAGTTCGATCACTCGCCAACTTGAGGAATATGTCGTGGATGAGCAGCGTGATAGGAAAATCGTATTGTCGTCATAGAGTGACGATAAAGGCAGTTATAGAGACTGAATGTTCGATTTTTAGGGTGCTTCTTTCTTCAAATTTATAGGTTTCATTTCGTTTTTCACATTTACGATCAATGAATAAATTTTGTATTTAATTTCTACTATTTAGCACTTCGTATAGTATTATAATTTTTAATTTTTAATGATTTAAATTGTAGGGGAGAGTTGCCAAATGCGTACTGGTTGGCTAAATCGTACTTTTCAATATTTTATATTATTACTTAAGGCAACTTAGTAACAATAGTAGGCAACTTAGTAACAATAATATAAAATACATAAGAAATGAATAATGTAAACAAAAATATAACAGCCTATGCCTTGTTTTACTGAGCAGCTTTTTAAAAAATTAGGTTATCATCTGATATTAATTTTTAATCAACTCATGTAATTGATAACGTGATTATCCAATTTTATTATAAATTTTTGTATTTTTATAAAAGAAGATTTATTGTAAAATATTTTACATTCACTGTATATGTATTCATATTTGCAACTATTATAAAGATTAAATCGATATTTTTACAAAATTCATCAAGTTTCCTAAATCACAAGATAATACTGATAACTGACAATAATAAAACTAATAATTGATATCTATACAAATGTCACGTGCAAAAATATATTTCAGCTAATTTTATTTCATTTGTCTTTTTATTATTGTCATTTAATAATATAATATTTAATAATATTATTGTTATTTAATAATTATAAAATATTTGATTTTCTTCAATAAATTATTAATATTAAATATTAATTAATTTTTAGGTATTAGTTAATGATTAGTTAATGATTTCTTTTATTAATCTCTTATACTTTCAATTATTTTCATTCATAAATTCAATACTTTAAAAAAGAATACGATAAAAAATACCTATAGGTACGATTAGGCGACCAATTGTCCAAATCGTATCTTTTACAATATGTTACAAAAAGACTCATAAAAAATTAATTTATTATTAATGAAAAGTTAACATGTAATAATAATCTAAAACTTCAAGCTACAATTTCTAATGTTCATTTGCAAAAAAACAGTGCCAAACGGAAAATATAATAAAAAATAGGTTAAGTGGTACGCACTCGGCAACTCTCCTCTACATTTTATGTTACAGATATATCAAGTGTATAGTCTCTACAAAAAGTGATTGATATTGATATTTTACGTATAAAAATAATTGTTTTATAGATTTGAAATAGTTCAATAAGGACAATATTTAATACAGTTTATTGTTTGAATAAAAATTTTCTCATTTTTATCTTAATTATTTAAAAAAAAAACACGTATATTTCTTATTGAAATAATTTTTGATCCACGTTAGATCATTGTCAAATGTTTTATATTCAAATACAATATAAAATTTTCAAATATATAATATAAAACATTCAAAATACAATACGGGAAAATCCACAACTTTTTTATTTTACCAAAAAATGCATCCGTAATAATTGCTACATTATTCAGTTTTTATTTTAAAAGAATTATTTATTTTAAATATTTTTCTAATGAAAAAATAGTTTCATCAAATATTAACTTTTATATATGTGTTGTGCAAAATTTAAAAAGCAACTTTTTATAACTGCAAAAATATTCTTTTTCTTCTACTCTCTTAGTCGCGCATAAGAAGATAAGGTCATTCCGGATTATGATCCAGGAAAAAGCGAGACCAGCTGCATTCCAAATCCCTACTTTCGTGATAACCACTCGCTTTTTAACCCTTTGTCATCGTATAAGAGCGGCGAAAATGGCAGCACTCCTCGACGGTCGTTGCTATACCGGCCAAATGAGTATTTTTACGAATTATGTTACTGTAAAAGAAAGTGTTCTACGTTGTAGACTTACAATGCCGCCGGCAACACTTGGCCATAAACGAACATTATGTTGTAGTCGTGGTTTGTGTCTGCAAGAGACGGCAACAGATGGAGAGTAATTTCGCTGGTCCTAATGAATTATTTCTGGCCAAGCTATTACTAGTCAATGCGTAAAACGAAGGAACTTTTCGCGTTCGTTTCCTTGGTCTGAGTCCAGTTCAAAACACACACACGTTCATTAAAAAAAAAAAAAAAACTATCATATTAAAACTATTACGTTACAATCAAAAGTCATGACTTGTATTATGATATCGGAGAACTTGCGCGAGACGTTTCGATAAGGAAGATAACAAGAAACTTTTGGAGGAAGTCTTGTTACCATATTGGAACTTGTTACTATTTCGATGGAGAACAAGTACAAAAGAAAAAGGCAAAACTATAGGGTAAAAATTGTAATATATATCTACGTATAGCGTGAGAAAATCGTAGAAAGAGAGAAAAATTGGAAACGGCAGCAATTGAAACGAATACAATCAACGGAATTAAGATTCAAATAGCTGAAAAATGATAATTTATCATCCGATTTAATCATCCGGCTTTTATTTCCTTATTATCCCGTTTTTGTCTTTTACCGAGCGCACACCGAGACGAATTGCCGGACGACGATTGTTCAAAGATAGCGCGTAAGTACGCCATAGATATGCCAAGGAGACGACGAAATTGCATCGTATTTCTACACAAAGTAGAATATATGTAGCCGAATGTATAGTGTAGTTGCGTCAGGACGGAACACGTCTGGCTACAAAGGGACGTATGCATCTCGACAACAAAACCCAGGTGGAAGCACTGCAGAATTCATAAAACGATAGGGAAAACGCAAAGCGTTAGAATTTATCGATAATATGCCGATATACGACCACTGAAATATTCCGACGTGTATTCGTAATGTTACCCGCTAGATCTTCGTTGTTCTTGAGATGCCGATGTACTCTTTTGTACATCATCAGCATTCTTTCCTCAAGAGATGCTTATCCGTCCTAGAAGAGGAAGGGAGGGAAAAAGAGAGAGGGATGGCGACTGTCCTCGGCAACATTTAAACGACGTCGAAACACGAGCTCGTCGTTTTCGCCCCATTTGCGTAGCTGTGTCACAGCAGTCTCGCGATTTCGTTAATTACGAAATTCTGCGCTTCAAACTTTCGACGAAGTTTCGTCCGTCAACTTTCGCACGTTCCGCACCGTTGCCCGTCTTGCTTAACACGCGTACACGCATAAGCGTGGCCCACACTAAAGTTTTTCGTTTTTACAAAGAAAATATTCGAAACCCTCTAAAATGTCATGTACACGAAAAGAACGGTTTTGTTGAAATATCTAAAAAAAATATCTAAAATTTAGCTAAATATCAGATCTGAAAATAACTTCTTATATTATCAAAACATTTATGTAGGTCATCCAAATCGATTGTCAAAATGTCAAAACTATTTGCAGCATTGCTCATGCTTGATATTTCAATGAAATTATTTTGATAAGTCAATAAAATTATTTTCAGATCTGTATATCAGAAGTTAAATTTTTAGATAATTGAGCAAAATAGTTCTTACCAAGAACAATTTGGCGAACGCCAATGTGTGTATGTGTATAAGTAAGTGGATATGCAATGTGTGGATACGCAAAGGTGACTTGTTAATAGAAGACAATGGGATTGAGTCTCGACTTTCGAAGATAGACGGAAAAAATACATAGGATACAGTCATACACGTGTAGTAAAATGAGAAGAACGAAAGAGTTGGATGGAGAAAAGGCGGTGCGGAATAAGCGAGCAGAATTGTGTCGCTGTCGCGGCAAAAAATGGAAATTCCAGTCACATAAAATACGACATACGGGTATAAAGAACTTGGAGGACTTGAATTACAAAGCGAGATCCGTATATCCGACTGTTGCATGAAGTCGGAACATGGATGTAGCGAATCTGACAAACGCGTCTGAAGGGATCGTTGGAAGGTATCATTAATACATTTCAACGCACGTTTTTCAGCCTAATAAAAGTAAATAGTAAAAAATATATCTGCATTAATTACGGTTTTCCATTCTATGTATGTGGCATTAATAAGGTACAGGACGCTTTCACAATAAATTTGTATTGCAATTTCGCCATTCGAGATACACTCGCAATATATCGTAATCACAAATGCAGCATTTTATCTGTTTATTTATTTAGTCACAAATTGAATTGAACGATTCCAATCTTGCGAGAGACAATGCTGAAAGTATGGAATAACAATTGCTTTTTTTCCCTATACATAACATATTTCTCTATAACATATTTTTACTGATCCTACTTTCAACATTTATTTTCGTGCAAAGTTTAGCAACAGTTTTTCGGTCATCCTATATTTTACAGCAAAAATTGCTGCTTTTTCGCAACGAATGTTTATTATAACATTTAATACGTCTCATATATAATAATAAGAACTTTATTCAGGATACCGACATTGTTTGCCAGCACACCTGTTTACATTTAATTCCATTTCGACACGATACTCTGTAATCATGCTCGTGATAATCTCGAAGCTACCCACGCCGATATTAACTTCGTCTCTAAACGATATTTGCTCGTTTTATCGCGTTGCACGCGAAGCATTGCGCACGGTGTGCATCTAGTAGAATCGGCAATCACGTCGAAGCATTACGCGGCTGCGTTATCGTCGTCCCGCGTCACATTTACGCTCCTCGTTTCCTCCTCAATGCGTTTGCGTTCTTTGAGGCGATACAACAATATATACTGGACGCATACCGGATGCATGCCGCTCCGACGTCTCTTGTTCCTCGGCATCGCGACAGAGTCTGGCTTACGATTTATTAGATGTATAATTACCAGGCACGTATATATTCCCTATGAATTTATGTCGTCCTTAAGGATCAGTTCCAACAAGAATCACACTTAATTAACACACAGGTTTAAATATTTAGATATAGTTACTTTTTAAGAGAATATTTAATTGACTACTTTTACTAAATGTTTCTATATAAAAAAGTTTTGTATTTAAATCAAATTTTTTCATTTTGTTTTGTTACTTCTTGAATTCTTTATGATAACACTCGAAGTTGAATAAAGTAACATAATTTTGTGTTATAATATTATTTTGAAAAAGAATTATAAATAACTATTATTACTTGGAATCTTGAATGAATTCAATGGTACCACTTGGATCTTATTTTTTTTAAATCGAAAGCACCACTTGAATACGTATTACTTGATTTGAGTATAAGAAAAACGCAATTATTACAAAGATATGTATCGTTTACGTTTTATTACATATAAATTAATAAAAATAATATCATTTGGATTCTACTTTTTAATTTTGGAATTTAACTTGGTCAGTTGACATTAAATCTTTCATATAAATGATATTACTTCAGTTCTTTCAGAATTATCTCGAATAAGATAATTTTTTAATTTTTATAAAGATACGTATCACTTAGATTTTATCATAAATTTTTTATTTTACATAAAATTAATAAATATCATTTGAATTTTACGTTTTAATTTGGAATAATGAGTATTTTCGAGAAGCGCGTACTCTTAGCGCCTTTTTAAATCTTTTTCAAGTAAGTTTGTTTTTAACTTTTTTTATACAATAATCAAATGTGAGAGACTGAGAATAAGGTAAAAAAAGAAATAAAATGATTAAAAAGAGAATCCATGCGGTTGGAGCGCAATATATAGATTTTTAATAAAACATTGCACGCAAGCCACAATTATACACGCAAAAACGCAAACGTTTCGATCATAAATTTTAATTCTCTTCATTGTGAACAAAAAACGCGAAAAGATCCTAATCAAGAACGATAATTGCGAACATTAATATAATTTAATAAAATATTCGTGAAAGGGCAAATTAAATTAATCGGTCGCTGTTGAAGTACGAGTGTATTGATCCATACGTACAAATTATAGTCGCTGAAGTAAGACATTATACATATTAATTAAAAAGAATTATAATGCCTAAAGTGTTTTTTTATAATATTATATATTTGCGTTTTATATTTTTTATTTTCCCAACAATTTGTCAATCTTATTAAACTTAATGATAACTTCTCAGATAGAATTAATGTACACAATTAGCATTAATCTAGATTGACGCGAACGATTCTAAGAAACAACAAAGATTTATTTACAGCAAGGTAGTTGCTCGTTTATTCATATTTCAAGCTTATAATAGCAATTGATCGATGGAACTTCGTGACGAGCGACATTCTTCCTCGATGCTACAAATGGAAAGTTACTTTCAATGCGATTCGATTCGATCACCACGAAAAGAAATGTTGCGCAATGAACGATGGTTTTTCCAGGTGAAGCCCGATTCGGACTTGATATTCGAACAGCACGGGCTATACTCGACGATATCGAGTCTACTGCTCGAGCTGGAGCCGGGTCATCTCGCCAGCGACAAGATAAACGTCAGGTAATTTCAATGTTTACAACATACCGTATATTTCCGTCGTTCGACAGAGCCGTTGCTTATGGCACCTCAGCGCATACTCCTCATAAATATACATTCGCTTACTCGCGAGTAGGGTAGCTCGTTTTACGCGAGTTTCACGCGATGGGATGCGATAATTTATCCTTCCGTTTGACCGGTCACTAACGATCCGACTTCAAAGAATGATAGAATGTCTTGTTGCAGGTGCGAGGCGACGGTACGATCGAGCCACGAAGTTGAGCCGTTCGTCGATATTCGCAATACCGAGGTCTTTGGTAAGCCCATATGACACAATACGATCGATTTTGAAGCAATACAATCGGCAAACGAATCGCGATCAAAGCTCGAGATCACGTGGAAATAATAATGACCTCGTGATTATAGACGCTCGAGCAGCCTGAATCTAATTATTTCAATCAACCTTCAGTTTAAATAGATTAAACACGCGAACGAAAAATTTGAAATTAGCGTTTGATTAATGAATAATTTTTCTTCTTGTTAAATTCATTTTAGATGATACAACATGAGATATCAGAAATAGAATTGTATGTATTATAATGTGATATGCCGTAAACGTATGATAAACGTTATGCATAAACGTAATAAACACTTATAGAATCAAAATTATATCTACAAAGTTAATATTTGTGTTTAAATTTTCTGCTTTATGTCTACATATATACTATTTTACTAAACGGAAAATGTATGCGACATACCTGTAGTAAATGACTGACAAATTTAATAATCATAATTCAAAAATTTTAATTACATATATAATTTAATACAGCTATGTCTGAGAATAAATTATATGCTTGTGAAATATGAGAATAAAATTATTTACATTCACAGTATATCTTTATCAAATTACTGTACATAAATGCAGATAATTAAATAATAAACCATCAGAAAATGAGGAAATTCGAAAAAGAGAAAAGTGAGAAAACTAGTGCGAATAAAATTTAATATTCGCTTGTGTAATATGATAATATTATATGTATGACATATTATATATAATATATTCTTTCTTATAAT